CAATTCTCCTGCCTCAGCCTCCTGAGTAGCTGGGATTACAGGCACGCGCCACCATGCCCAGCTAATTTTTTGTATTTTTAGTAGAGACAGGGTGTCACCATGTTGACCAGGATGGTCTCAATCTCTTGACCTTGTGATCCACCCGCCTCGGCCTCCCAAAGTGCTGGGATTACAGGCTTGAGACACTGTGCCCGGCCTCTTTTTTTTTTCTTTGAGAAGTCTCACTCTGTTGCCCAAGCTGGAGTGCAGTGGCACGATCTCGGCTCACTGAAACCTCCACCGCCCAGGTTCAAGCAATTCTCCTGCCTCAGCCTCCCACATAGCTGAAACTACAGGCACACACCACCATGCCAAGCTAATTTTTGTATTTTTAGCAGAGACGGTGGTTTCACTATGTTGGCCAAGCTGGTCTTGAACTCCTGACCTTGTAATCTGCCCGCCTCGGCCTCCCAAAGTGCTGGGATTACTGGTGTGAGCCACTGCACTCAGACTAATATTTGTAGTTTTTAGGAGATGGGGTTTCACCATCTGGGTCAGGCTGGTCTTGAACTCCTGATCTCATGATCCACCCACCTTGGCCTCCCAAAGTGCTGAGATTATAGGCATGAGCCACTGCACCTGGACTGATCAAAAACTCTTAAGTATACATGGTAAAGCAGTATCATAAATGTTTTTTAAGATAAATAGGAAGCTAAAAACCACAGTGCAGAAAGAAAGAAAAAAAAAACAAGATAAATAAGAAGCAGGACATTAACTACATGTCCATATGCCCTTAGTGAACTTTCTCACATAGAATCTTCCAGACAGTGATCTTACAGCACTGCTGGGCACACTCCAAGCCACTGGGCAGCTCTGATGTTTAGAGGTCACTCACTACAACATCCTGGGTGAGCAACTTCACTCACAACCACAATTTCCTAAAGAGAACCAGAAACAAGGCCTCAAGCACCACTATTTCAACCACTCAGGTATATTCATTTTCCTAGGAAACAAACACTAGTCAGTGTCCAACAGAAAGCACCTGCAGACAGTGACGAGCAGGTGGGACGATTCACATTAACTCACTGTTCTGACGATGGGCTGCTGGCCTTCTACACAGCCATACCAGTTTAGTAATTTATTCCAGGCCTCGGTGGGGACCAATACATAGTCCAATTCATCAATTAAGTGTTCTTTCAAGGTCTGACTCTCAGGATCTGAAAAAGAAAAAGAGCATGTAAGTCACTGCTCTTCACCCCAGAAATGATGGTTTTACATGATTTTTGTGTGTTTTTCAAAAAGAAGAAAATTATTTACAGAAATAGGTATGAAATTCCGAAATTCTGCTACTGGTCATTATACAGAGCAGACATTTGTCTTTATTCATGTTTTCTGAACATTTTATGAGGAACTTGTATTTCTTCTATAATTGGACGGAGAGAAGAGAATAAAAAAAAGAAAAACTCTTCAAAACCAAGATAATGGTCAAAAAAATAAAAGAAAAAAAAGAAAAACTCCAGGCCAGGCACAGTGGCTCACACCGGTAATAGCAGAACTTTGGGAGGCTAAGGTAGACAGATCACAAAGTAAGAAAATCAAGACCGGTCGTGTGTGGTGGCTCACGCTTGTAATCCCAGCACTTTGAGAGGCCAAGGTGGGTGAATCACCTGAGATCAGGAGTTCGAGACGAGCCTGACCAACATGGAGAAACCCTGTCTCTATTTAGAAAAAAAGAAAGAAAAGAAAATCAAGATCATCCTGGCCAACATGGTGAAACCCCACCTCTATTAAAAATAAAAAAATTATGGCCGGGCGCGGTGGCTCAAACCTGTAATCCCAGCACTTTGGGAGGCCGAGGCGGGTGGATCACGAGGTCAAGAGATCAAGACCATCCTGGTCAACATGGTGAAACCTCGTCTCTACTAAAACTACAAAAAATTAGCTGGGCATGGTGGCGCGTGCCTGTAGTCCCAGCTACTCAGGAGGCTGAGGCAGGAGAATTGCCTGAACCCAGGAGGCGGAGGTTGCGGTGAGCCGAGATTGCGCCATTGCACTCCAGCCTGGGTAACAAGAGCGAAACTCCGTCCCAAAAAAATAAATAAATAAATAAATAAAAAATAAAAATAAATAAAAATAAAAAAATTAGCTGAGTGTGGTGGCGCGTGCCTGTAACCCCAGCTACTCCGGAGGCAAAGGCAGGAGAATCGCTTGAACCCAGGAGACAAAGGTTGCAGTGAGCTGAGATCGTGCCATTGCAATCCAGCCTGGTGACAGAGCCAGACTCCATCTTAAATAATAAATAAATATTGGGAGGCTGAGGCGGGTGGATCACAAGGTCAGGAGTTTGAGACCAGCCTGATCAAAATAGAGAAACCTCATCTCTACTAAAAATACAAAATTAGCTGGGCGTGGTGGTGCACGCCTGTAATCCCAGCTACTCCAGAGGCTGAGGCAGGAGAATCAAGTGAACCCAGGAGGTGGAGGCTGTAGTGAGCCAAGATTGCACCATTGCCCTCCAGCCTGGGCAACAAGAATAAAACTGCATCTCAAAAAAATAAAAATAAAATAAAATCTGTTGTTTAGGCCAGGTACGGTGACACCTATGATCCCAGCACTCTAGGAGGTCAAGACAGGAGAATCACTTGAGCTCACCTTGAGGAGTTCAAGACCAGCCTGGGCAATGTGACAAAACCCCATCTCTACAAAAAATGTAATAATTAGTCAGGTGTGGCGGCACCTATAGTCCGTTACTCGGGAGGCTGAGGTGAGCGGATCACCTGAGGTGGAGAGGTCAAGGTTGTAGTGAGCCATGATTGTGCTACTGCACTACTGCCTGAGTGACAGAGTGGCACCTTTTCTCAAAAAGAAAAAAAAAAAAACAAAAAGAAAAAACTTTCTCTATATCAGCAATAAGGGTGTTTCACTCTCTTATCATTCACTTGTTCACTCGAGTGGCACTTTTTTTTTTTTTTTTTTTAAGACGGAGTCAGCTCACTGTAACCTCTGCCTCCTGGGTTCATGTGATTCTCCTGCCTCAGCCTCCCTAGTAGTTGGGATTACAGGCACATGCCACCACGTCTGCCTAACTTTTATATTTTTAGTAGAGCCAGGGTTTCACCATTTTGACCAGACTGGTCTCTAACTCCTGACCTTGTGATCCGCCCATCTCAGCCTCTCAAAGTGCTAGGATTACAGGTGTGAGCCACTGCCCCCAGCCTTTTTTTTTTTTTTGAGATGGAGTCTCACTTCTTTCGCCCAGGCTAGAGTGCAGTGTCGCAATCTCAGCTCACTGCAACCACCATTTCCTGGGTTCTTCCATCTCCCAGGCAACATGGCAAAACGCTGTCTCTACAAAAAAAAAAAAAAAAAAAAAAAATGAGCCAGGCATGCTGGCAAGCACCTGTAGTCCTAGCTACTCAAGAGGCTGAGGTGAGAGGATCACTTAACTCCAGGATGTTTACATTTACATTCTCAACCTGGCTAGCTGTATGGCACAAGAGGCCTAGCTTACAACCTATCTTGGATTCCTTAATCACACCCAATGATTTCTAGCTTTGATTTGAAGCAAGAGATATGTAACTCTTCTTTTCACTTGAAGCCGATATAAGGGTTACTAAGCGGCCTAATTTCAATATCATTGTGTCTCAGGCAATAGGAAAGCCTGAGGAGAGGGAAAGAGATGCAATGGCTGGTTGGTGGAGCAGTCGGAATACACACAATAACTACCAATTAAGTTCACTGTCTTATATGGGCTCCCTTCATGACGCCCCAAAACAATTACAATAGCAACATGAAAGATTCCTGATCACCACAAAAAATAATAATGAAAAACTCTGAAGTATTGTGAGAATTACCAAAATGTGGTAACAGAGATGTGAAGGGAGCACATGCTGTTGTAAAACTGACACTGACAGACTGTTCAAGGCAGGGTTTCCAAATATCTACATAATTTGTTAAAAACCCAGTATCTGCAACATATAATAAATCAAAACACAATAAACCCAGGTATACCTGAATTTAAAACCAAAAGAATTTTCAGTTTCATAAAAATGAGAAAAAAGACAGGGCAAGATGGCTCACGCCTGTAATCCCAGAACTTTGGGAGGCCGAGGCGGGAGGATCACCTGAAGTCAGCAGTTCGAGACCAGCCTGGCAAACATGGTAAAACCCAGTATCTACTAAAAATACAAAAAATTAGCTGGGCATGGTAACAGGCACCTGTAATCCCAGCTATCCAAGAGGCTGAGGCAGGAGAATTGCTTGAACCTGGGAGACATAGGTTGCCTTGAGCCGAGGTAGCGCCACTGCACTCCAGCCTGGGCAACCAATCCTGTCTCAAAAAGTAAAAATAAAATAAAAATATCCAGGTTAGTATTAGGTATGCAGATCAAGTCTCATGCCTTGTCTGCCTTCCTGCTGCCCTGATTCTTTTTTTTTTTTTTTGAGATGGGAGTCTTGCCGAAGTGCAGTGGCACAATCTTGGCTCACTATAACCTCCATCTCCTGGGTTCAAGCAATTCTGCCTCAGCCCCCTGAGTAGCTGGGATTACAGATGCCCACTATCATGCCCAGCTACTTTTTGTATTTTTAGGAGGGACAGGGTTTCGCCATCTTGGCCAGGCTTTTCTTGAACTCGTGACCTAGTGATCCACTGGCCTCGACCTCCCAAAGTGCTGGGATTACAGGTGTGAGCCACCACGCCTGGTCTTTTTTTTTTTTTTTTTTTTTTTCCCCCCCTTGAGACGGTGTCTCAAGGCTGGAGTGCAGCAGTGTGATCTTGGCTCACTGCAACTTCCACCTCTCAAGTTTAAGCAATTCTCCTACCTCAGCCTCCCGAGTAGCTGGGATTACAGGCACCCACCATGGCACCCAGCTACTTTTTTGTATTTTAGTAAAGATGGGGTTTCACTATGTTGGCCAGGCTGGTCCCAAACTTCTGACACCCCAGCTGATCCGCCTACCTCAGCCTCCGAAAGTGCTGAGATTAAGGCATGAGCCACTGCACCCGGCACTGCCCTGATTTTTGACACACATGATAGATCACCTCTATTATGATTATATAGAGGTCTGAAGTCAGGCAGAAGAAAGCCTGGGAAAAGCTGACTCTGTCATCTCGGTACATGTACAAGTGCAAGGAAAGCTCTAGTATGTTACATATTTTTCCCACAGTTCCCATTGGTAGTTGACTACAGTCATAACTCTGTCTACTGACCTTCAACCTCTCCTCACACTAGTACCATGATAAAAACAACCATCACAGGAATTCTTTTTTTTTTTTTTTTGAGACGGAGTTTCACTCATGTTACCCAGGCTGGAGTGCAATGGCGCGATCTCGGCTCACTGCAACCTCCGCCTCCTGGGTTCAGGCAATTCTCCTGCCTCAGCCTCCTGAGTAGCTGGGACTACAGGCATGTGCCACCATGCCCAGCTGATTTTTTTGTATTTTTAGTAGAGACGGGGTTTCACCATGTTGACCAGGATGGTCTCGATCTCTTGACCTTGTGATCCACCCGCCTCGGCCTCCCAAAGTGCTGGGATTACAGGCTTGAGCCACCGCGCCCGGCCCATCACAGGAATTCTTTTTATTTATTTATTTTTTTTTTTTTGAGACGGGAGTTTCACTCTTGTTACCCAGGCTGGAGTGCAATGGCGTGATCTCGGCTCACCGCAACCTCTGCCTCCCGGGTTCAGGCAATTCTCCTGCCCCAGCCTCCTGAGTAGCTGGGATTACAGGCACGCACCACCATGCCCAGCTGATTTTTTGTATTTTTAGTAGAGATACACTAGGAAAGTTCAAAATGTCCATTTTACAGATGCACATAACATTAGATCCCTTGCCCAGGTAAACGTTTAGCTAGAAAAGCAACATATACTATACCTGAAAAGAGCCCAGAATTGTCAATTGGGCCAGGAAATACGTTATGTTGACCCATACTGTACATGTCCCAGCTGTCAAAGCCCACATACTTCTTCCACTGCTTGAACCACCGGCTGTCAATAAGATACCTAGAGATAGACAAAAATTTACTGTAGCAGAAAAGCTGAGATTAAAAATTTTGCAGCTGCTTCCTTAATTTTTTTTACGGTCCTTCCACTTGGGGAATATGTAATGCTCACTAAAAAACATTCTCGCAAGAGCAAGAGCAGGGCCCAGGCGCCACATGGCAGAGTCTGGCCCAGGATATGCATCCATTAAGTGAAATGATTGTTCAAAAACTGAATAAAAGAAAGAAAACAAGAGGCTTCAAAATGCTCACTTAAATGGAGTCTTTTTTTTTTTTTTTTGAGACGACGTTTTTGCTCTTGTTGTCTAGGCTGGAGTGCAGTGGTAGGATCCTGGCTCACTGCAACCTCTGCCTCCCAGGTTCAAGAAATGCTCCTGCCTCAGCCTCCCAAGTAGCTGGGATTCCAGGCATGTGCCACCACGCCCAGCTAATTTTTTTGTATTTTTAGTAGAGATGGAGTTTCACCATGTTGGCCAGGCTGGTCTCAAACTTCTGACCTCAGGTGATCTACCTGCCTCAGGCTCCCAAAGTGCTGGGATTACAGGCATGAGCCACTGTGCCTAGCCTAAATGGAGTCTTTTTATGGGTAAAATCATGTTTGTTAATAAACAAGTCATTAATTTCATAGTGATCTTTATAGAGGTCCCTGTCCAAGCAGTTTGGTTACACTGTTTTGCTTGACATAAACAACACTAAACTAATGTTCTTTCTGAAAATAGGTTAGAAACACCACTCACTAGGCTGGGTGCAGTGGCTCACACCTGTAATCCCAGCACTTTGGGAGGCTGAAGTGGGCAGATCACAAGGTCAAGAGATCAAGACCATCCTGGCCAACATAGTGAAACCCTGTCTCTAGTAAAAATACAGAAATTAGCTGGGCGTGATAGGGCACACCTGTAGTCCCAGCTACTCAGGAGGCTAAGGCAAGAGATTCACTTGAACCCGGGAGGTGGAGGTTGCAGTGAACCAAGATCGCGCCACTGCATTCCAGACTGGTGACAGAGTGAGACTCTGTCTCAAAAAAAAAACCAAACAAAAAAAGAAACACCACCCATGTTAGTCTTCTCTTAAGGGCCAAACGAGATCCAAAAATGCACACACAAGGCCAGGCGTGGTGGCTCACACTTGTAATCCCAGCACTTTGGGAGGCTGAGAAGGGTGGACCACTTGAGCTCAGGAGTTCAAGACCAGCCTGAGCAACGTGGCAAAACCCCGCCTCTACTAAAAATACAAAAATTAGTTGGGCATGGTGGCGCACGCCTGTAGTCCCATCTGCTCAGGAGGCTGAAGCGCAAGAATCACTTGAATCTGGAAGACAAAAGTTGCAGTGAACTGAGATCACACCATTGCACTCCAGTAATAAAACACTGTCTCAAAAAAAAAAGTATGTAACGTGTGTACATATATATATAAATACACATACACATGTACATATAATAGTGCTTAGGTATGTTCATCTTGTCAAAAGCATTAAGCTGTGCTTCATATTCAACTTACCACTTTTGTACTTAAATGTAAGCAAATCTGGCATTTTATTTATCTATCTATGTATTTATTTATTTCCTTAGAGAGAGGGTCACCCAGGCTAGAGTGCAGTGGCATAATCACAGTTCTCTGTAGCTTCAAACTCCTGGGCTCAAGTGATCCTCCTGCCTTAGCCTCTGAGTAGCTGTGACTACAGGCACATACCACCATGTCCAGCTAATTTATTTTTTATTTTTATTTTGTAGAGACTAGGTCTCGCTATGTTGCCCAGGCTGGTCTTGAACTCCTGGCCTCAAGTGATCCTCCTACCACAGCCTCCCAAAGTGCTGAGATTACAGGCATGAGCCACTGCACGAGACTTGTTTATATTTTTGAAGTATCGTTACGCTGTTTTACAATTAAAACAGAAAGAGGGAAAAATCTCTGCGGGGCAACAAAGCATCAACAATTATATTGGTGCATCCTTCAAATTTTATAACAAAGGTGAGAAGCTTCAGGCAGCTTCCCAGAAGTCACAAGGATCCATAAATACATCCAACTCTAAAATGCTATTTTTCTTCCAAATCCCTTGAACAATACCTTCCATACAATTTTAGTGTATCTTAAACTTCCTCTGCTTCTGCTGAGGAGCCTTATAGAGGTTAACTTAAAAAGTACCTTTACGAGCCCTATAGAGGTTAATTTAAAAAGTACCTCTGGCCGGGCGCGGTGGCTCAAGCCTGTAATCCCAGCACTTTGGGAGGCCGAGGTGGGTGGATCACAAGGTCAAGAGATCAAGACCATCCTGGTCAACATGGTGAAACCCCGTCTCTACTAAA